CACACAGCACCCAATAACGAGCACAATAACAACCATTAGAACTATATCATAATAATGATACCTCCAAACCCTTCACACACACTTTTCAGCATTCAATAAACTTCAAGCTATTCAAAGTAGACCCGCCTGCCATAAAAGATCTCTCCAAATGACTAATGTATTCCCTTCTCATTGTTATTTGCAAATTTTGTCTTGAGATTTCACAGTTTATTTTTCTATAATCAGCAATAATAGAAAACAGAGGAAACATATTAATATGTGAGACGTGCTGACAAAATGAGTTACTTCTCGCAATTCACAAATGGAGATATTGGCAAACACTCAACACCGAGGTCAAATTAGTACATTAGATCTTCTAATGATGCTCTATTTTTTATGTATAACATGCCTCATATTATTTCATACTTGTAAACGGTAAAACGTCACTTACAAGCATGATGTTTCTATTTCCATAAGGCTTGAATTAGGGAAGTAACTCATTTTGTCAGCACACTTCACATATGTATCTTCATGCTCATTCATTGTGCTGTTCATCAGTTATTTTTTTGTCTTCAACATTACAAATGACAATAATAGCCAAAGATTGTTATATTCCGACTGTAAATCAGCTCAGTTGACATTTCTGTCTTTAAAAAGGAAAGTGCAACAACTTTCATGCTCCAAAAATGTCACCCAATTTTTTAAAATCCGTAAAACAAAACCTTCAAACAACAAGAACGCTCAAAAACACAAAACAGCACTCAGAATTACAAAGCTGGACAAAATTCAAATACCACACCAAAAAAAACGCAGAACGTTTTCAATTCAACGCAAATATTATTACGACGTGAGTCCAGAAAATTCTGGAATACTGCGTGTCCCCACACGGGCCGCCAGCAATATCGTTGGACCACTGAGACGCGTCAAATATCCCGTCTACAGCCACTGACTGAATCTACAAAGGTTTTCATTCCGGTTAGTCTGAGTACACAGAAGTACACATTAACATGATACTGCTTATTTAGTGCAGGAAAAAAGGCAAGACGAACAGACAGAGACAATAACAGAGGGAAACAAATGAGGCAGGACCTTCCAGTGGCGCCCGCCACTGAAACCACTCCACTATCTGGAGAGGAAGCTTAATTTAGTTTTACTAAGGTTTTTACGGCGCTCGCAACTGCATTAGGTCGGTTAGTTTTAGTAGAGTTTTTACGGTGCTCGCAACTGCATAAGGTCATATGAGTGCCAGAATATTAGACGTGTTACAAAAGAGTAACAAACACAAAAAAGGAGGAGAGCTCATGACGATAGTGGTTTGATAGGAAAGAAGGAGCAAACCACACCAGAGCATCTGCCAACCACCCACGTTGAAATATTGTACTTATCATTTCTTCCTCAGTTACTCTCTAGCAACACTTCTAATCTTCGGCACTTTTATGACCTATTTGTGTAGAAAGTGCCATAAAAACTCAAATTTAACATTAAAAATTGCACCTACTCACTCACATTCTCATAGTCAATGATTGTCCGATGCTAATAAGATAAGACAATATAAGATAATACTTTATTATCCCAGAGGGAAATTTTTCTTGGCCGTACAGGACCGTAAAAAAATAACACGACACCCGAAAAGGAGACAAAACAAGGGAGAGAGAAAAAGATCCCCGACGAAAAAACATAAACTACCCTGACCTTGCCCATGATGATGCCGAGGAGCGACTCGACGTGCTCCGGACGGTCATGGAGGAACTGGCACAGGTCGGTGGATACCTGGCAACACGAGTAGAGGACCTGGGGAAAGGGAGGGGGGGGGATAATATAGGAGAGGTTAGTCTGTGTGTGTGTGGGGGGGAAGGGAGGGAGAGAGAGAGAGAGAGAGAACTGGCACAGGTC